AAAAGCAGTTTCTGTCAAGAGTTCTCTCAGCCCCACCTACCTCACAGGGTGTCTGTTGTGGGGGAGGGGAAGGGAAAGGAGTTTGTAAGCCGCTCTGAGACACCTTTGGGTAGTGAAGGGCAGGGTATAAATCCAATCTCTTCTTCTTCTTCTTCTTCTCTTCGTATTCAACTTTCTGGTATCCAGAAATCCTTCTCTGAATCTTTAGGGGTGCCAGTGACTCACAGAGGCTGAGAGTGTTGGATTTGAATTTGGGAGGCTTTGGTCCCAATCAGCCCTAAAGCTCACTCTCCCTCAACCTACCTGACGAGGGTTGTTACGATGAAAAAATGGGCAGAGAACTATCCTTGCTGTCCTGAGCCTGAGACACCTTTGGGTAGTGAAGAGCGGGGTATAAATCCAATCTCTTCTTCTTCTTCTTCTCTTCATATTCAACTTTCTGGTATCCAGAAATCCGTCTCTGAATCTTTAGGGGTGCCAGTGACAGAGGGTGAGAGTGTTGGATTAGAATTTGGGAGGCTTTGGTCCCAGTCAGCCCTAAAGCTCACTCTCCCTCAACCTACCTGACGAGGGCTGTTACGATGAAAAAATGGGCAGAGAACTATCCTTGCTGTCCTGAGCCTCGTTGGAGGAAGGGCAGAATTCAAAGGAACGACTGGTCAGAATCAGAGATAACATGGAGTCATGGGTAGTGCTGGACTCAGACGAGGAACACCTTCAGGAAGGCTGAGCTGCTTTTGGCGAGTCACCAACTTATTTCACAGGGTGGATACGTTAATACAGACCACACGTGCCACCCCAAACACCTTAAATGAAGAATGGTATATGAATGTGTTAAAAATATTCTTTAGCGAGGTAGCTTTGAGGAAAAGAGCAGTGTCTGTAAAATTCAAGTGATATATTAGTTTCATGTGTTTTTCTCCAGGATATTCCAGGGAAACAAACCCATGAGGGCCGAGCACTTTTAATGTACGCTTTAATGCTTTAAACTGAAGAATATTTCTGTAAAACTAGTTCTAGAAATTGTACTTGATTCTTTGGGGGGGGGGAGCTGGAGGTGAAATTCATTTTTGTCTCTTTCTCCCCAGGACAGCATGGAGCTAGTCCATAAGCAATCCAAGGCTGTCGCTGTCACTTGTATGTCTTTCCCTGTGGGAGACGTCAATAACTTTGTTGTTGGAAGTGAGGAAGGTTCTGTGTACACAGCGTGTCGTCATGGCAGGTGAGTGGAATTCCATTTTAAAGCAGAAAGTCATCGCCCCCCCCACACACACACTTGTTCTGTAACATAACATGACTTCAGAAAGATTTGTTCTCTTAACCGCTTGAAGATCATACTATGGGAGAACTGTGTTCTTTTTAAAAGGCATTGTATGAACTGTTAAAGAGTATTCCAAGTTTCCTTTCTTTTGAGTAAGAATGAATGTTGAGTTTTGAAATAAAGCCCAACCATCATTTTAGTCATTTGAATTGTGGCAGAACTTCCCAAACTCTTTCTCAGTTCTATAGATAATTGTACAGTAGCATCACGCACCAATCTTAAATTGGGCAGCGGGTCTCCCGCTGTTCAATCTGTTTTGAAATTGTCTGGCTGAATCTTATCAATTGCTTTCTTAAATGAAATTGAGGTCCAGGTTTCAGCTCAAACAGACATCAGCCTGTGTTCTACAGCACTTTGGTTTAAAACTAACCCAAATTGGTAGTTCTTCCATTTAATCAGTTCTGATACTATTGAGGATACATTGT